AAAAGGCAGACAGTAAGGAAAAAAAGAGAAAGAAAAATGTTATTGTAATACAACATGGCCAATGTATCTAAATGTGTACCTTCATTTGGTATAATTATGTGTTTTATATAGTTTTTGGTCTATTAGTCTGGTTGTTAATTTGTTTATGACAATTAACTTGATAAAGACATAAATCAGTTGTTGGCAAAAACCAATCAACAAATCAGTCAATAAATAAAATTACTTTTATGATTTGTAAATATACACACAAATGTTTTGTATGAAAATAACTGGGGCACATACTTTGCATTGGCTTTTTTCACATTTGATACTAACCATTAATATTATTTCATGTATACCGGTTCATCATTAATATTGCCTTTTCAAAAAATAAAAAAAATTTTAAAAAATTGCCTTTTCAAGATAGAAATAGCAAATTAAACAGAGACAAAAGTAAAATATATTTTGGTCAAAACAAATCAGTTCTACAAATATAGGATTGGAGGGACCCAACTTAACATTATCCAAGGTGAAAGAAAGAAACGGGATTTCCCGCTTCTGGGGAAACCTTGGGCTGAGATCTGAAGTGGTGATGAAGATCTCAAGCATCTTAGGAGGGCTCTCCAGGCACTTTTCCAGTTGACTCAGTTCATGCTGATCTAGTGTAACCTGCTGCACAATGTGGCTCCCGGCTAGAATGGATCCATTGCCTCAGGTGGATAACCTGCAACTCCAGCCCTGTGAGTTTACTCTGTGTTATGGCTGCCCTGTCTCTGTCATGCAGTTTGAATTCTTTGCCTTTACTTACCTTCTAATTTTCTTAGAAGGTACTTTCACTAAAACGTCAATTACATATAACTCAGTGCATTTGGATTTTACTCTCTACCTTCCTAATACGCTTCAGTCCCAGAAAGTTTCCAAAAAGCCTTATGATGAAAAGAAGCCACACATGGTGGTGCATACCTATAATCCTAGCACTCAGGAGGCTGAAGCAGGAGGATTGCCATGAGTTCCAGGCCATAGTAAGTTTAAGGCCAACCTGAACTTCACAGCACGGCCCTGTGGAAACAAAACAAAAGAAGAGCATTGGGGCCGGAGATATAGCTCAGTGGCACAAGAGCCTGGCTGGCAAGTGCAAGGTCCAGATATGGTCACTATCAGGTAAATTTGAATACCCAGGAATCCATCCAGGAACATCATCTCGGGGCAGTTGTATCTTGTTGGGCCATAAAATTTTACTACTTCCTATTATGTGGAGGGATTTAAACACTAACTTTTGGACCACGAAAAAGTAACCTTGCCAACCCCGGCTGCTTAACGATTTTGCTGCTTCTTAAATGTTGGACAAATGCGTATGGGGATCACCTTTGACCTTTTCCTTCTTTCTTTCTTTCTTTCTTTTTTTTTTTTGTCTTTTTCAGAGGGTCTCGCTATGTAGTTCAGGCTGTCCTTGAGCTCACTTTGTGGCCCAGGCCGGTCTCAAACTTGCAGCAATCCTCCTGCCTCAGCTTCCCAAGTGCTGGGATTACAGGCATGTGTCACCACACCCGGCTGCTCAGAGAGAATGTGAACTGCCAAGGACAGGAAAGGAGACACTGGGTGACCTTTGGAGTGAGATTTTTTCCGTCCCACGGAGAGATGGCTTCCCCAGGGCCTGGCTCCATGGTTGGGAGTAGTGAAGGGTTTTCCAGAGGAAGCAGATTCATTTGGAAGACAGGGCTCCTGAAATTGTGTTGAACTCAGGTAATTTGAAGGAAATCTTGTTTAGCTTAGAGAAGGAAATATTTAGGGAGCTCATAATAAGTATCAAAATATTTGAAGGAAACACTGCCAGGGCACCAAATAATTAGACATTTTGGGTAACTCCAGGGAGCAACTGGCTGGAAGTTATCAGGTAGGAGATTTCAATTTGTTGAATGGTTATTTTATCAGTTAAAAACTGGAAACTGAGCATGGTGATGCACACTTGTAATCTCAGCACTCTGGGAGGCAGGAGGATCTGGAGTTTGAGCCCAGCTCGGGCAACTTGGGGAGATCCTGTCTCACAATGAAAAAAAAAAATTGAAAAGGGCTAGAGATGTAGCTCACTGTGAAGGGTTTATGTTCAATCCCCAGAATTAAAGAAAGGAAGAAAGAAAGATTGTAAAGGAAAAAGGAATCCTTCTTTAGCTACGATCTTTATCTTGCTTGCTTGCTTGCTTGCTTTCTTTTCAGTTCTGAGGATGAACACAGGGCCTTAACAGTGAGCTACATCTCTAGCCCTTTTCCATTTTTTTTAAATTTTGAGATTTGTATTTGAGATTTTTTATTTTGAGGATTTTTAGGAGTTTATGCAGAATACGTCTAAACTAACAGTTTTTTATGAGCCTTTCTGTAATGGGTAAGAGGTTGGCCTAAAGGACTCCAACCTAAAATCTATGACCAGTCAGAGTTCCTCCAAGTCCCTGCTCAGGTTCCCAGATCTTGAGAAGTTTTCTCTGACAATCAGGGTCCACAATGACTGAATCCTTCTTTTTTTTAAAAAACATTCCTATCTTCTCTCTCTTTTTTTTTTTTTGTTTTTTTTGGTGCCGGGAATCAAACTCAGGACCTTGCACTTGCCAGGCAGGTTCTTATGCCACTGAGCTATATCCCCGGCCCCTGAACCCTTCTTCAAGCCCCTTCTCCCGCTCTTTTTTTGGCACTGGGAATTGAACTCAGGACCTCACCCCTGCAAGCGCTGTGCCACTAAGCTATGTCCCCGACACTCTCCCACTCTGTTTTTGTTTTTTGTGTTTTTGAGACAGGGTCTACTGTGCAGTTCAGGCTGGCCTTGAGCTCACTTTGTAGCCCAGGCTGGCAAACTCGCAATGATCCTCCTGCCTCTGCCTCCCTAGTGCTGTGATTACAAGTGTGCGCCACCATGCCCGGCTATCCCACTCTTTATTTCTGTACTTAATTTTCGCGTAAACCGCCCCAAGACCGAGTTCCTTGGCAGGAGGGGCGGGGCAAAAGAGGAAAGGGATATAAAAAGAAGCATAATGTGTTACACATATGTGTCAGCTCCCCACTATGAATTCAGTCAAACATATACTAATAAAAATAAAAACATTTTAAAAAGTTCCTTTAGGGAGGGAAATAACAGAGCTTTGCGCTTGGCAGTCACCCAAATACTTGTTACAGTTTAGTACCAAGTTTCTCTTCGTGTTACATATTGTCTCATTTCCTGTATTAGTCTTAAAAGCAGCTTGTAAACCATTAAGTTGGGGACTGTGGTTTGTATTTCTTTGCTATTTCCCAGCAGTAGCCAGTATGTGCGTGATAAACATTGCTTTAAATTGAGTGGAACCAGAAGGGGAAACTTTGGCTCACGAGTTGAGGAAAAAGGAATGAAATGTGAAATGTGGCAGAAGGGAAAGAGACAAAAAGTCAAAAAAATTTTTTTTGTTTTGATAAAAGTGTGGGCTTTTAACTTGCAATGAAAACTCTTTTCAGATAGTTTTTTCCCACACGCAACTTAGATATACTTAGTGGAGTTGAAATTAAGTAACTGTAAACTAGAAACTACACAGAGAAGGCCCTGAGCATGAATTTCAGTTTAACGTTATGTGGCCGAGGGTGGTGGGACACGCCTGGAACCCCAGCGCTCTCAGGGTCACAAGTTTGAGCCCAGACTGGGCAATTTAGCGAGACTCCGTCTAATAATACAAAAAGGGCTAGGCATGTAGCTCAGGGCGAAGGACCGGGGTTCACTTTCTAGCATTGGAAACAAACGAACGAACAAAACATCAATTAAGCATTATGTAACAGCACTAATAGAAAGCTTGGGTATCAACAGTCTGTAAACGGAAGCAGGCTTAGGCAGCGCCAAACCATTAGTCTCAGAGGGTGAGTAATTCTCAAAGATAAAATCCTACCCATAGCTCCAACAGTAGTAAAGGATACATCCGCAGTCACCAGGAAGTTTGCGGGGTTTGTGGAGATCAGTTTCTACTATGTGGCTGTATTTCGTGTACGTCTGTTTAACGTTCTTTTTTTTGGTTTTTTTATCCGGTACCGGGAACCGAACTCACGACCTTGCGCTTGCCAGGCAGGCGCTTTGCCACTGAGCTAAGTCCTCAGCCCCTGCTTAACGTTCTTGTTCAGGTACTGTAGCCCCGCTTTTTCCACTTTGGGATTCAGCGCTCCCTTACCCGTTTCTTTCTCTTTCTTCTTCCTGCTCAGTTTATTTCTCAAAGCCAGGGAAGGCGGCTAGCGGGGCGAACAGTATAACCCAGTCTGGAGGTGGTGCCGAGGTATCTTTTCACTTCTCTCCCCGTCCTATGCCCCTACTTTCCCATGTTAGTATGAGTTTTTCACTTGCCAAGGGATCTAAGGTTTCCATAGCAGCAAGCAATTTACATTCAAACCTACTATGAAACAAAGCAACTAACCGCCGGGCGTGGTGGCGCAATCCTGTAACAGTTCTAGCATTCTGGGAGGCTGAAGCAGGAGAATCGCAAATTCGAGCCCAGCCTGGGAAATTTAGCGATTTAGTGAGAATTTGTCTCAAAAAAGGGGTTAGAGAAGTAGCTCCGTGCGAAAAACCTTGGGTTCAGTTTCCAGTAAGCAAACAAACTACTCAAAGTAAGATCATTTTATGAATCCCGGAGCCCAACTACCTTTCCCTACCTCTCGGGAGGTGAGACTAGTTCTCTAGCTTCAATTTAGAACTCAGCCAGTCAGAAAGTCCCTACTTCAGGACCACTGACCAATCAGGGAGTCCTTACCTGCCGAAGGTGATGAATTAGTTTCCTTACAGGACAGTCTCCTGGGCCAATCAAAGGCGGCTGCAGCTGAGGTAGTAATGGGCGGGATTGCACCTGGCTACCGTGAGTTACTCGGCCGAGCGGCAGCTCCCTTGACCAATCATCAGGTGCAGGGGAGGGAACCGACCAATCAGGGAAGATGGGCCGGGCGGGCCGGGCGGGGCTCGACCTGGGGTTGGAATTTAGTCCCAGCGCCGCTGCAGTTCCCGAAGCTGTTCCCTGATCTGTGGCCGACTTTGTCCCCTCGGGATTCTAACCGTGATGGGGACAAAGGTGAAAACTGGGAGGAAACTGCTGCTTCTCTTTATATCAGTGAACCTGTGTAAGTTGCCGGAGTTTCGGGGAGGAATCGGTGGGTCGGGTCCGAGGTTGGAGCAGGGCGCTGCCCACACCGCGCCCACGGGAGGGTGGAGTTGAGAAACCTGCCAGCCGCTCCTCCGAGTCCGCACCCGGGCGCTGCCCTCCTGCCCCTCCCCCGCCCCTGGAGCGGGGCTGCTCCCCGCCGCCGCCACCTGGGACCTGGGGCGCCTTCCCCTCGCTCCGGGGGAGGCAGCTGCCCTTCAAGCCCGGTGGCCGGGAATAACTGGGAGGCCTGGTGCTCTGTGTCCCGTTTTCACCCTCCGTGCCGGCCTGCGGGCGCAGGACCTTGCCCGCTCTCACCCCTCTACCGGGCCGCCTTCTTCCGCGCGCTGGGAAGGGCCATCCCGCCCCTCCTCCGTCCACGGGCAGCCGAGGGAAGCCCTTAGCCTCGCACCCCGGGCTCCCTGGGCTCCTTCAGTACCCTCGGAGGAAATGCAGTGGAGGTGGGTGGGATGAAGTCTGCGCCTCTGGCTTTTGCAGGAGTCTCTAGCTCCCCCGAATCTCTCGGAAAAGTGCCTAGGTGCAGAGCCTGAAAAGGAGATGAAATTGAAAGCTGAAATTTCCTAGGGCTCAGCATTCAGAATTCCTTCCTACAATAACTCCCGAGGAGTCCCTAATAAATGTTGACGGAGTGACTTTTCCCAGGGGGAGGATGTGGCTGTTGGTTGGCTGGATTCTCCTCCGAGCTAGAACTCTGCCCTCCCCGCTGGCTGGATGTGAGAGTTTTTGTTTCCTCTGTAAACTCTTCTTTCCTGAGAAACAATGTGGCACACTTGCTGGGGCTTGCCTGTGACTCTAGGTGTGTTTTTGTGGGACTGATTGTGTAGTTGGTTGGCTGGAGCCTTAGTCAACTTGTGTCAGCGCCTGTATGTTTATCTGTCTGATTTTTTAAAATTTTGTGGTCTGGGGATCAAACCCAGGACTTCGTATTCTGTCTGTGATTCTTGAGTGTCAGTCTGCAGAGATTTGTGTGTAGTTACCTCAGTCTGTGTGGTTCTCCATTTCTTGCCAGGTTCGTGTCTTAAGAAGTGTTAAGAGACATGAGCAATTAAAATCAGTAGTGATATCTTCTGGAGAACACAGTTTTTTTTCCTTGTCTTTTTGGTTTTTTGAGACAGGGTTTCACTATGCAGGTCAGGCTGGCCTTGAATTCGCTATGTGGCCCAGGCTGACTTCTAAATCATGGTGTTCCTCCTGTCCCAGCCTCCCAAGTGCTGGGATTACAGGCGTGCACCACCATGCCCGGCCTCGAGGAGTTTTTGAAGAGCAGAAATGCACAGATTCCCTGCCCTAGTTGGATAGGCCACTCCTTTGTCCTTTATCACAATTAGCCCTTGGGATAGATGGGAGCTGCAAAATTAGTCTCTACAATGAACAGATGAGGAAACAGGTCTAAGGGAAATGGCTTTTCCAAGCTGACAGGAGAGGGACCTGGGAGTGGAATGAAGGACTTCCGATTTGCTTTGGTTTTCTACTCCTGGGCCCAGCATCTCAGGACCCCATGGGAGAGGAACTGTTTGGGATACTGCTTCAGAATCTCTTAGAAAGTTTTCTTCCCCACTGGGCTCTTCTTCTCTCACTTCCCTATCTCCCTTGACACATCCACTCACCTTGTTCTTCCATTTCCCTTTTTTTCCCTGCTCCTCACCTATTTTACTTCTTCTGGTACCTTAGAAGTGCTAGTGACGCCCATAGTCATTTTCTGTTTTGGGGCTCTGTACCATCTTTTGGTACTCAGTGCCGCAGACCTTAACCCATGTACTGTGTGTTTCCTCTTTCAAACCCAAAAGTTTCTGTGAGGTCAGTGACTAACAGGTTTTGTCAGTGACAGTGCAAATACCAGTGACAGTAATCGTCAAGCGTATAAACTTCCTGGAGCTGCTTCCTTCTACCCCTTTCTTCCTTCTTTTCTTTCCTCTAATTTCCAACATTGTTTGCAGTAATCTCATAGTGACCACATTCTGGCACTGAAAGGATTGCTAGCATTGTTTTGATCCCAAGGGTGTCTTGGGGGAACAAACACCAGTGTTTCAGAGGGAGCCTGAGGTGAAGATGGATTAGCTTGTTAGGTCTGAGGGGTCGGGGAAGTGCCAACAGCTGGAAATAGGACAAGGTGTGGAGGAACAGACTTTGCAAATGTTAAGGTGGACTCAGGGGAGGGAACTGATTTGGTTAATGCATGTGAGGATGGCAGCAGCAGGAGCAGCCACCCCACGTGGGTTCTATCTAGCTGGGACTGGCTCTGCTTGTTTGTGACCGTAGGCTGCTAGCTCAGTCATTTCATCAGAAAATCAGAGCAGTACTCTTGGGCAGTAGTCTTGGGTAGGGGGGATATAGCTCAGTGGCACAGCGCCTGCCTGGCAAGTGCAAGGTCATGAGTTTGATTCCTGGTACCAAGAAAAAAAAAAAAAGTAGTAGTTTCTGTCTTACCCTCCTTGTGGGGGTCAGTGGAATGAAAACTACCTTATCACATGGGGATTGTTGCTGGGTAGCTGTTATCCCTTTAGATTTTGTGAGCATGAAAGAATATTGTTCCTAATAGGGTAGGTCAAAGGAAGCAGGGAGATTCCAATGGGAAAAGTATAAAAAACCAGGGTCTCTTTCTGGGTGTGTAGCCAGTCCTCTGCCCCAGGAGTGTGACACACGTACTGGTTGTCTGGGGTACACCTCTCTGTCCCGTTCTGCTCCTCAGTGGGCTTCGCTGTCAGGGAGGAAGGAGAAAAGGGAAGATGGCACGCACCAGCCAAGTGAAGGCCCAACACCAGCCCGGGGAACTGGTGTGGCGCAAAGCCTGAACCTGCTGGGGCAGGGAGCCTGAGACCTTGGGACCTTGGGCTTAGGAAGAGTAAAGCTGGTGACCGATAGAGACAGTCTTCCTGTCCGTAGAGGACCTGTACTTTTCAGCAGTTTCCCCGGCAGGTGAGGAATTCTGCTCGGCACTATGTCAGTGGTCAACAGTTGGGTCAAGTTCGGGTGTGAATTCGCTCCGGGGAGGAAGGTAAACCTAAGTTGGAGCACTGGCTTTTCTCCTGTGCTGCTTCCTGCAGTGTGGGGCTCCCAGAGGGGCCACCCAAATGAGGGGAACTGCTGACTTCGTCTGGGTCGGTCTTCATCCTGGTGTTTCCTGCTCCTGCTCCTCCCAACCCAGACCTTGTGAACTCGAAATGACTGGCTGTTCAGGGACAGACTTGACTCAACAGTGTAGATGGCTGAGTCACTTGTACTTTTCCTTCTCTACTCCGAGAAAGAATTGTTCCCTTGAAACCAGAAACTGGTGAGTGGCAACAGCTGCAAATAGGACAGGAGTGGCAGTGGGATTCCCGTGTGTTCCTCTTCCTCCGGTCGGGGATCTCTTCACCTTGGAAAGTGTTTGCTTCACCTCCTTTGTGATTAGTGTTTGTCCTTGTTCTGGTTTGTGGTGGAGCTGCTGTGCTTTTATTTATTTATTTTGGTGTTTTGATATAGGGTCTCCGAATGTAGTTCAGGCTTGTCCTGAACTTACTATTTATCCCAGGCTGGCCTCAAACTTGCAGTGATCCTCCTGCCTCAACCTCTGAGAGCTGAGGTTACAGGTATGCACCATCATGCCTGGCTCTGTTTTTCTCCCTTTTCTTTTCTTTTTTTTTAAAAATTTTTTTTCTCCCTTTTCTTGTGCAAAAGAGGGTGTATTATATATAGCAGAGTATGGTGGCTCATGCCCCAGAACTCGAGAGGCTGAGACAGGAGTGTTGTTGCGAGTTCAAGACCAACCTGGGCCACAAAGGGAGCTCAAGGGCAGCCTGAACTGCATAGTGAAACCCTGTCTCAAAACAGACAAAGAAAACCCTATATCTATATCTATATCTATATCTATATCTATATACAGATACATATTTGATTGCACTGTTTATTTTACTTAATGCACCCTTTCATGCTGATATATTAGAAGGTTTGTGGCCTTGGTTGTTGGTCCCAGGCTGCCCGTACACTTAGTAAAGGGGCATTGGTGCAATGGACATAGCTGGCATTGCCCCCAACCCAAAGATAGACTGAAATGCTACACACATTTTATGTGCTAGACTCAGAGTCCTGGGGCTTGTTTTCCACATCAGTGGCTTGGAGAGGAGGCCTTGGGGATTTCTAGACTCCAACCTGCTTGCTTCATAGAGGCTCAGGAAGGCCCTGGGTGACCACTGCAAATGTCTGAGGAGGAGGTGCCTGTGTTAGGGAGAGGTTGTGGGCAGCGATGAGCGGAGGCCTACTGGGGTTTTCCAGGCATTGAAAAGTCGGAGTTCATGCGCCTGGGACTCCCAGATAAGCAAGGTTTCTGTCTAAAGTCCAACTAGTGTCTTTGTCTCACAGTGGGGGCGGGGGCAGGAGGAAGCAGCTGGCTGCCCGGAAGCTTGGAGTGGGGCCCGGGCGGGCCTGGAAGCCCTTTGCCAGCTATGGGGAGATGGTGGAGGTGTTGGGTGGGCTGGGCAGATGGAACTGGAGGGTGCCGAGAGAGGGCCACGGAGTGGAGAGCACCCGTCTTCCATGGCAGTCACCGCTTTCTGCCGTCCTCCCTCCCAAGGCTGAGCCCGCTCCTGCTCGGTGACGCCACTGAAAGGGCAGCCAAGGGTGGCTGCTGGGACACAGCCCCACCTGTTTGGGGCCCCAAGTGCCTTCCTCTTGCTCCTGCATTTTGTATGTGTTCTGCTCCCGCCTCCAGAAGGAGGCTGCCAGTCTTGGATCCTCCCTGCCCCATGCCACCCCTGGCCTTTGATGGAAAGGCCAGACCTCCCAGGACTTGGTTCCGGCTCTGCTGGGGAGGAAAGGGTGAGCTGGGAGGAGACCGAAGCTGGAGGTCCAGATTCTAAGGGTGTTACACTATCACGTCCATTTGTTAACCCAACAGATTTTGGTGTGGGCTGGAGTGTGGCTACTGTGCTAGGTTGTGGGGTGGGTGACGCTGCGGTGTGGGAACTGTGGGCTCAGAGCTGG